TTAGTTTCAAGTTAGTTCCAAGCTCGCTATTTTGCCGTTTAAAGAATTTAACTCGATAGTTACTATTATTGACTACTTCGACATGGTTTGGTTCGAGCTCGACAGGTTCTTTCTTTAGAAAAAAGCGATATTTAATAATGGCAGACTACCGACGAAGTGAAAGCAAGCCCTCTTTGAAAAAATGGCTAGCACTGTCACCGGTGCCTTGCAGTTCAACGTCGGTTCGTCATACACTGGAAGAGACAACTTCATTAAAATAAATGGGGCGAAATTGGGCGGCCAGGCCGTCCTAACAAAATTTTTCGGACATCCGTCAGCCCTGCTGCAATAGGGTGATAAAAGTTGACGCCTTATAACAGTGTAAAATGTTGTGCTTGGCCAGATTCGTCGCTGACAGCGAGTTCAAGCGAGTTAATGACATTACGTAAAGTTACTTCTTGCTCATTGTAATATTTGCATATTCCGATCAATGATAAACGGCGAATGACTGTCTTTAGATCAGATTTAAGAGACTACTTCCCCGCTCTTACTTGTGATTGTCTGCGGGGAGATTAGGAAAATCTAAAACGAAAGTTTGCATCGTTGGAAAGTCAGTCTTTATAGCAGTTTCTTGATGGGGACATTCTGATTTACTTCCTTTCATAAAGTTGATGATGAGCCGCTGCCCTGCATTTTCATATCATCAACCAATTGCGTTTTATTTTAGAAGCAGAATCGGCAATAGCTATGTGGCAAGTGTATCATGTAGTCTTTCATTTCCATGCCACCTATAGTACTCGTTTATCAATCTCAGAGGAAGGAAAGCGAGTCATCCAACCGGGGTTCCAACCTGATACTTCTCGTTCGGAGTCCAATAGTCTGCCAACCGAGCAATGCGGTCTGAAGTAACGTATAGCAAGTTTTTTGCTTAGAAAAGTCGTGATTAAGACACAGATTGCTTTTCACCTTAATCAAGCCCGGAGTTCGACGATGATACCTCAATCACTGTACCACCACGTGGCGGGGCCGTTTATACCAGTGCATCTCTTTGGTATATGAGCTTCTTCACTAGTAGATGCATCTAATATTATTTTTTCCTCTAGAGATACCTCATGCGCATCAAGAAGACAGTCAGGCAGTTGGCTTCGATGAAAGACTATCCATTCGGGTCCCAGACACAGGTGCATCAGACAATGCCTGCGAAGTTCTCGATCCTGTGCCACTATTTGAGCTTTTGCAGAAAAGAACCAGAGTCATGAGAAGAGCGTACCAAATCATTTGCCAGAGGTCATTCTTCGCCTTCACGTGAATTTCTGCCAGTCGGTTAGGCAAGTAGCACTTACTTCGTCTTTCTTTCTAAAAGTATTCGAAATACGTGTCAACTCCATTTTATGTATAACATCTCAATCTGGAGAAACATGACAGTACAAAAATGCTTTCTTAAAGTTCTGTGCCCTGAGCCATGTCTAGACGTGTGAGCGCACAGATTTGCCTAAGAATGCCTAGCTGAGCAGCTTTAACCAGGGATAGAAGTTTATGAATCATTGCCTATGGTTCATAGCCGCGGGTGAGTATTGAGATCAAGATCGACTCGAACGTAAAGCGCTTATTCTTCAGACTCAGTTCTATCTCACTTGTTAAGATTTGTGCTAGTTCACGCAGAACGCCGTAGCTCATTCCAGTTCACAGTTGGATCCTCTCCTCCCAATTTACATCGAAAGTAAACACGGTCCTGAGGGACATGACATTGCCCATCTTTTCCACTGCTTTTCCGTTTATCTGAAGTGAGCAACAGAACGCTGTAGATATACTTCAGAAAATCCCAGTGAATCTAAATCCTCTGTAAAGAGTGACCTCCCAGTATCCCTATTTTTTCGTTGAAACACTCGTCGTCCTACTTGCGCCTGATCGTCCAATTCATGTACAATACAAATAGAGCGCTCCCTTGGTGGACACCAGTCTCGAAGTTAAACGGTCCTGATTTTGTGCCATTTACTCTGACGCAGCACCTGCTATCAACATATAGTTGATGAACAGCTCGTAATGACTGGCCATCTATCCCACATGTTTGCAGGGACACCCATGGCATGTTATGTGGACTCTAGTCGTTGGCATTCCGAAGATCAACAAAGCACACAGGCAAGCCTGATGAGCGAACTTCCACAATTGCTTAGCAATCTGCCATGAGGTGAAGATCTAGTCAGAGGTACTCCTACCTGACCTGAAGTCATATTGCATACAACAGTCAGTCAGTGTACGGTACATCTTCATTCTAACCCTTATGTGGATTTTTCCCGGTGGAGGGTTCAATTAAATGATGTCCCAATAATTGGAACAGTCCATATTCCACGTTTATCGACGTTTTCTCCGCAGTGATGTACATGCGTTAATGATGGCGTGAATTGTTCGCCTAAAGCGTTGCGAATCTCAGGGCGAATTCATCACGTCCCAAGTTCTTGCACTGCAGGCGAGTCTTTCTGCGGTTACATGCGTTTGAGAAATTCTTTAAAGTATTTTGGCCATCCTCTTG